TGTGTGTGTGTGTTTGTGTGTGTGTGTGTGTGTGTGTGCATGTCTCCCTGCAGCTGCCAGGTACTTGGTGTCATATCACAGCACTTCTCTTAGCTTCCTAAGATGGTGACAATAGCAGTAGCCGACTATCACTGCAGGCTCACTGTGCTGCCAACACAAAGCAGATCCAATTTAGTTCTTGCCTTCAGCATCTGTGCAGCCATATTAACCCCTGCCGAAAGGAGCCGGTTGGCCCAATGAATTTAGAAACATGCTTGACTAGAAGCCAGGTTTGTCCTTTTAAATAATTCTACTTCAGTGTCTAAAGGGCAGGCTTTTGTTTTTTCTTAGCTTTGTGCAGCACATTTATTAGCGTGTATGAGTCATATTGTTAATTGTGAATTCATATTTACCCCTCTGGTGATATAGTATTCATGAAAGCCCTCATATTCATTTTGAATTCTGAGGTTGTCACTAAACTGAGCTAAACCTTAAAACATTCTGACCAGTGATGGGACAGTTTGTGTGTGACTCCTGTTAACAAATTTATGTTATCTGTTTTAAAACCTTAGTTTGTGAAAATGAACCGAACCAAAAATTAATTCCAATTATTTAGTCCATGTTATGAAACAAACCAAATTAAATACAGGACTTAAAATGTGTTAAGATTTTCACACTGCATTTTAAGTCATTTTTGTATACAAATCAAAAGATTTGGGTCAGTGTTTTTAAAAGAAGTCTCTTACGCTTACCAAGTAAAATACAGTAATATTGTGAAATATAATTACAATTCAAAATTAAAAACTTTTCTAATTTGATATATTTTAAAATATAATTTATTCCTGTGATGGCAAAGGTGAATTTTCAGCAGCCATTACTCCAGTCTTCAGTGTCACATGATCATTCTAATGTAAAAAATGTTTAAAAAAAATTTTTTTAATTAAATAAAATACAGGTATTATCAATGTTTGTGGAAACCATGATGCATTTTTTTATGATTCTTTGATAAATAAAAATGTCAAAAGAACCACATTTATTTAAAATATAATTTTTACAACAATGTGAAAGTCTTTATTATCACTTTTGATTAATTTAATGCAGGGCTGTCCAAACTCGGTCCTGGAGGGCCGGTGTCCAACAGAGTTGTCCTCCAACTTGCTTCAACACACCTGACTGGAAGTTTCTATGCCTAGTAAGAGCTTGATTAGCTGGGTCAGGTGTGTTTAATTAGGGTTGGAGCTAAACTCTGCAGGACACCGGCCCTCCAGGACCGAATTTGGACAGCCCTGATTTAATGCATCCTTGCTGAATAAAAGTATTGTGTTATGTGTATTAATTTAATGCATATGTGTAAATGAGCTTTTTATATGTGTGTTCTGTACTGGAAATATATTTGAATGCACTTTTGTAGTTTTAATAACTTCAATAACTGAGATTGTTATCCTTTGATGTTGATTCACAAATATATGTGATTTAAACAGTTAAAATACTCAGTAAGGATGTATGGTGTTTGTGCTGACTATCAGACTATCAAATGAGCTCCAGTCAACCTCTCCATAAATCTAGAAACTCCTCCGTAATGAATGCAATGCTTGTTGTACATAAACATTTCAAAGGTGTCTTGAAGTGTGACATGCATGCTGTCTGAGCATCTGAAGCACTTGTTTTAGGAAATGATCATGTGGCGTCATGAATAAGATGTGATAGTGGCTTATTACTGGATACACTATGCAGTCTTTAATCACAATCGCACTACAGCGTTGGGTTGAGCGTGGATGATGGCACTGTTGCTGTGATGTGTCTCGGGTGTTTCTAAATCAGGATTTATCAAGGGTTAAACCCCAAGAGTCCTGGCCCTCTGGGGCTAAGCATGACACACCACAGCAGTCATGGCTCAAACACACCTTGCCTCTCTTCTCCTTTCTCTTGCCATAAATACCATCTCCTCCTACAGGAGTACAGCTGTCAATCTTCACTGTTTATGGAGGAGATTATGCAACACTGACTCATTAAAAGCTGTTGTGGCCTAAAATGAATTCAGCATGGTGAATAAACACTCTCCAACTCAGTTTAGGGCTGTTAAGAAGAATTTTAATGATGTGCTTAAGCGAAGCAGTCTGATGAGTTTGGTAATTCTGCATTTTAAGTCACAACTTTGGATTGTTGTTCTGCAAAACAATTATTGAGTAAAACAATATTATATGAACATTAATTTAATTAAACATGCTGAATGACCTGTGGTTGACATTTCAAGTAAATTTGCAGTCACGTAATCTAACACATAGAAAAATAAAGAATTCATTACTTACTAATTATAATGTGAGTTTAAAAAATAACTGCTAAAGGTAAGTACAGAAAATGTTTCACCATCAACTAGAGTTTTAATATAATGGATGCATAAAAAAGGAATAGTTCACTCAAAAATTTAAATTTGCTAAAAAAAAAAATTTACTCAGCCTCAAACCATCCAAGATGTAGATGTGTTTGTTTCTAAACTGGAACAGATTTGGAGAAATTTAGCATCACCAATGGAGCCTCTGCAGTGAATGGGTGCTGTCAAAATGAGAGTCCAAACAGCTGAAAAAAATCACAATAATCCACACGACTCCAGCGCATCAGTTAATTTCTTGTGAAGTGAAAGTCTGTGTTTGTAAGAAACAAATCTGTCATCAAGGCATTTTAACTTTTAACAACTGCTTCAGGCCCAAATCCATAAGTTCATAATCCATAATGACGCTTCCTCCAGTGAAAAGTTCATCCCCTCTTGTCTTTTCACATCAAAATCCACCAACATATTTGTTTGGAACTGTAAACAGTGCTTGATATTTGCACATTTCTCCTCAGAGAAGATTACTTTTTTACTGGAGAAAGCAGACTCATAATATTTTAGCCAGAAGCAAGAGTTTGAAGTTAAAAACATCTTGATGAATTTGATTATTGCAAACACACACAACTGATGGACTGGAGTCATATGGAGTACTTTTTGTGATATTTTTTTTTGTCCTTTTTTTAATGATGCTTTTATCAGCTCTTTGGACTCTCATTCTGACTGCACCCATTCACTGCAGAGGAAAATGAATTCAGCATGGTGAATAAACACTCTCCAACTCAGTTTAGGGCTGTTAAGAAGAATTTTAATGATGTGCTTAAGCGAAGCAGTCTGATGAGTTTGGTAATTCTGCATTTTAAGTCACAACTTTGGATTGTTGTTCTGCAAAACAATTATTGAGTAAAACAATATTATATGAACATTAATTTAATTAAACATGCTGAATGACCTGTGGTTGACATTTCAAGTAAATTTGCAGTCACGTAATCTAACACATAGAAAAATAAAGAATTCATTACTTACTAATTATAATGTGAGTTTAAAAAATAACTGCTAAAGGTAAGTACAGAAAATGTTTCACCATCAACTAGAGTTTTAATATAATGGATGCATAAAAAAGGAATAGTTCACTCAAAAATTTAAATTTGCTAAAAAAAAAAATTTACTCAGCCTCAAACCATCCAAGATGTAGATGTGTTTGTTTCTAAACTGGAACAGATTTGGAGAAATTTAGCATCACCAATGGAGCCTCTGCAGTGAATGGGTGCTGTCAAAATGAGAGTCCAAACAGCTGAAAAAAATCACAATAATCCACACGACTCCAGCGCATCAGTTAATTTCTTGTGAAGTGAAAGTCTGTGTTTGTAAGAAACAAATCTGTCATCAAGGCATTTTAACTTTTAACAACTGCTTCAGGCCCAAATCCATAAGTTCATAATCCATAATGACGCTTCCTCCAGTGAAAAGTTCATCCCCTCTTGTCTTTTCACATCAAAATCCACCAACATATTTGTTTGGAACTGTAAACAGTGCTTGATATTTGCACATTTCTCCTCAGAGAAGATTACTTTTTTACTGGAGAAAGCAGACTCATAATATTTTAGCCAGAAGCAAGAGTTTGAAGTTAAAAACATCTTGATGAATTTGATTATTGCAAACACACACAACTGATGGACTGGAGTCATATGGAGTACTTTTTGTGATATTTTTTTTTGTCCTTTTTTTAATGATGCTTTTATCAGCTCTTTGGACTCTCATTCTGACTGCACCCATTCACTGCAGAGGATTTATTGGTGAGCAAGTGATGTAATGCTAAATTTCTCCAAATCTTTTGAAGAAACAAACTCATCAACATTTTGGATAACCTGAAGGTGAGTACATTTTCAGCAAATTTTCAATTTTGGCTACATCATTCTTTAAAATATACCCTGAGCAAACACTTTGATCTTCGTCTATTGTATTTTTAATAAAAGCTTAATTTTATTTATTTCATAATTTTTTTTAATATTCATATTTTTTCATGTAAAATTATTCAATTTGTTTGTCTGTTTGTTATACATGTTCTTATTCAGAAAAACAAGCGGCAAGTTTGAAATAATAGTTTGAGTGGTCTCTCTTTCTGTTTGCTTTTCTTCACAGCCCCCATGGTGGTGTCGTTTTCGTTCGATGTAGGAAACGGGCCGGTGGAACTGAACGTGCACTCTCCTACCCCGCTGAACGATGACCAGTGGCACCGGGTCAGTGCGGAGAGAAACACGAAAGAGGCCATTCTGCAACTAGACCAAAAATACAAGGAGGTCAGACCTGCACCTACACAGGGACACACACGCCTGGAGCTCTACAGCCAGCTTTATGTAGGTAAGGACCACATGTACATCCACGTATAGCGTATATATGGACTCGTGTGGGTGAGGACTTCAGCAAAACACATTTTTCCATACGCCCACCCCTAGAGTTCTGAAGCCTGTTCATGCTTAGTTATATTGCTGGAGGTTGGAGTACTGTTGTTTTTTGTAGGCATTTGTAATGTTATTGATGGGCTGCACAACTCTTGAAAATCTGATCAAATGAGATCTATTACTGATTAAAATGAATTAGAAAATATTTTTCTTCATTATCTTTCTCATAAAATACACAATTCCTCCTGAATATCTCCTTTCTGAGCTGTTCTTGTGTCTCTCTCTATCTTTTTGCCACTCTTTTTCCTCTGTCTCTCGCTGTTACTGCTGAGAAATCAGCCTTTCTCGCGCACAGCGCTCTATGTTCTTGTGTCTGAAAGTGAAAATGTATTTATAGTCAGCAGCCTAAATGCAGGTGTAGCTATTAAAACTTGCACTTAATGACATGGAACCCTGGGGAACCTGTTCACCTCAGAAGTATGAAAAAGTCCACTGTAAAGTGAAAAGGAAGTTGAAAATGGGTTTGACTGAATATGGTCGAAAAATGTCTCAGCAGGGAATGTGACTAATAATGGTGTTGTGTGTGCTATGCTAACATTAGCAAGGAATCTTTTTATGGCTTTAAAAGTGCGAACAAGCCGTGTCACTCATGAGGCAATTATCTGTTGAACAGAATGTCTTTGGGCTTTCATTGTGCTATTTTGTGCTTTGACTTATTCTTTTCAACAAATGACTTTGAGGCTCATTAAGAAAGGGGAAGATAATGCACCCCTGTGGCTCTCTTGAGAGAGCTTTTGGAAAGCTCGTCTAGCTTGTGTATTTAAAGATTGACGTCAAGAAAAATTTCCAGGTTTCCAATACGTTTTTATTGATATCAAAGTTATTGATTGGTTTTATAAAGCAGAATTCTCCAGAACAGGAAATGTACATGTATATTATTATTGTTGTTATTGTTATTATTATTAATGTTTGGTAATTGTATTAAATTACAAAATTAAATTGATTATTCTATATAATTATTTATTTATTTATTTAATATATTATACTGCTTTTTTTATTATTTATTATTTAAAATACCAAACATACAGTTATTATACTTTTTATTAATTTTATTATTTTATTACTTTTTATTATTATACATTTTTCTATGAAATATCATCTGAAAAATGTATATAGATTTAGTTTTTCTCTAAATTAGCTAAAGGAAAATGTTTAATTATTTTCATTTATATTCTTCAGCATAACAAAACAGTACTCATCAATATTCACCTACATGTAATTTTAATGAAACAATTAAAAAAAATTTATGTGATTAGAGCTTTGATTTTTTTTTTTTTAAATGGACAGTGTGAACTGATTTGTGGAAATAAATTAAACTTACCAACTGCATTTTTTTCACTTTAAGTTTAAATTAGACACTATTAGAATTTTTGATCTTGAAACTAGTCCAAAGATATTGCCCTATTGATAAAGACAGGACTTCAGTCTATCAGTTAACGTCTTGTGAAGTGAAAAGCTGCGTGTTTGTAAAAAAGCATGCAGTACATTTTCCGCAAAATTTTCATTTTGTGGTTGAACAGTAGGGACAGTATGTTGGATAGTGCAACCAGCAAAATCATGTATTAATATTCAATATATTGCAAGCCATAACCCTCTCTAGGTCTCATTTGCATGTTGTCCATGCAGCAGATGAAAATGCAATTCTTATTCTCGACTTAGATCTGAAGAATGTTGGACTGGCATATCAATTTCAATATCATGCACACTAGGGTTAGGTGTAAGGAGCTTTGCAGTCCAAATGAATGTTAAAAGTTGTCTAATCCTTGTCCGTTGTTTCAGTAGAAATGTAAAATGTTGACATGACTGTTCGTGGAGAGCAACTCTCAGTCTTTAGACCCTGACCCTCAGTTGGAAAACTAATTGGTTTATATCCGCTGAGTGGGCTGGGGTGGACCTGTCCGGACCTGTCAAGCCTCCTCTCCTCTGCTTATGAATGCTCAGTTTTCATACCATTAATTCTCATGCCATCATTTATTGATAAAGCAGATTGCCCTCTTCTTCTGTTCACCCATGGATGCTTGTGTCTATTTGAATTTGTTTTGCATTTATAGCGGCCTCTTTATATTTAATGGAGGATTAAATGCTTGCTCGTTTTTGATTGTCATTCGCTTCATCTCAAATAACAAGCAGACCTTTGATTTAACAACCACTAACACGATGCATTCATTCACGGTATTAATATGCATGTATCTGTTTGCATGAATCTTTACTATCCAGTCCACCATCAAGTTGCTTCTTGCGATTTACTTTCTTTTGAAGCCTGGCTTTGATTAAGCATCAAGATTTCTAATCACTGCATGTTTTTTATTCATATTTATTTTTGTTTTGTTTTTTTTTTGTTTTTGGTGTTGTTTTTCTTTCTTTCATTGCTTGCACATCTGGGCGATATTGGTTCTCCAAAGGGAAGCCAGCTTCATGGGCCTGTCAGGACAGTAGGTAACTTTTTTGTAAAATGTACGACAACAGTCTAGTTGAACCTGAAACTTCTTGTCTGTCTGTGATATTTTGGTCAGGTGACCTTTTAATTCAGTATAAGGCTATAAGCAATCTGTGCACTGCAATGGTAAAAGCAGAAAAAAAATATTCCACAGGGCAGGATGGTCTAATAAATGTAATATGCTAATTCATTACAGTTTCATTAGAGAATAATTTCCAATTCAGGGCTCATCCGAGATGGAGGCAGTGAACTTCAGAAGGGTTTTAACAGCTCTTTCCTCACTCAAGCTTATTCATGCTGCTTCACTTTCAAAAGTTAAAACACATCCTGTATTTATGAAAAAGTTTTGTGAAGTTGATTCTTCAGTGACAAACAAGGGCATAAAAAGTGCCTGCTAAGTGACATGAATCAAATTGGAACAATATTGCGACGAATTCAGTGAGTTGGTTTGTATTATATACCCAAGCAGGTCACCAGCGCAATTAACACTCCACTGTCGATGTGAGTTTGAGTTAAATTGAGTTTATAAAACTTTGAAAATGTGTTTTCTGTTCTTTTTTTGTAAAGCATAGCCAGAATGCCATTATTACTTTATGTATCTACTGTCTTTGGAGGAATTGATAAAGCTTTCCTCATTTGGCAGCTTGATCAATTTGAACAGGATTGTACTTGTGGGTCAGTTTTTATTATTTACCGTTAGTAAATAATTAATGCATCCTTCCAGGACATTTACTATTAATCTACTATTAATCTAGCAAATGATTGTACGATTTATTTTTAACTGGGCAGTTTCGTGTAATGAAAAGATGTCCAGATAAGACCTAGAGCAATTGGCGAATGTTTATTTTCTCCTGGAAGTGGAGCTCTAATGATGTCTAATTTCTCTACGGTCTATTGTATTGAATGGTACATGCCAAAATGAATGAAACCCACCAGAAGGTTCAACTATTGGCTGAGACTTAATGTTTCAAATTTAACCTTTTGTTTTCAAGCTAGTCTGCAATAGAAATGAAGGATTGAGTCATTTTGTTGGGACACTTATGCTTTTATTAAATGTAATATTGACTAGTCTCTGTCTCCATTTCTCATCCAGGTGCAGCAGGAGGTCAGAGAGGGTTTCTCGGATGCATCCGCTCTCTGAAAATGAACGGTGTGACCCTTGACTTAGAAGAGAGGGCAAAAGTCACTCCTGGTGTAAAACCTGGCTGTTCGGGTCACTGCACCAGTTTTGGGATGTATTGCCGTAACGGCGGCAAGTGTGTGGAGAAATACAATGGCTATTCTTGTGACTGCTCCACCACTGCTTTCGATGGGCCTTTCTGTTCAAAAGGTCAGTATGCATATGCAAATTAGAAATTCTTACTTTTAAAAGTTTAAAAGTTTATACACCTCAACCAGAGATATGACACTGAACAATTTGTTTTTTTAAACCTGTGACTGGCAGGAATCTCTGAGGGCAACTCTTGTACTTAAGCTCAGCCTCCCTCATTTGAATATAGTAATAGTATCACTGACATGAGCAGGCCCCTTCTGTAGTTCGTGCTATGTCGAGACCTCCATCAAGCATCTCATGCTCTGTTTAAAAATGGCGACTCGCTGTGAGTCAGGGCCTCTGATGGTTGCCCTCAGCTTTCAACATCTCCTTCTGCTTGAAATATGCATGAACAACCTCGTAATTGCAAGGTTTTAACTCACATTTCCATTTTACACATATTTACTTGTGCCGTCTAGGGTATTGCAGTCAATATCGAATTCTCTCAGATTCTTTGCCTCTGGGTCAGTGCAATTGCTCCCACAGGCTGCCTTACATCTGTGGCTCAATACTACACATCACCTTCACTCCAGGAAGAGGAATCTCTTTGCTGTTTCATTTGGATTCAGAACTATGGATGTGGATTCTTACATCTATATGTTATTTAGTGCTATTTGTTCTCGATTTAAAGGGTTAGCTCACCAGAAAATGAGAATTTACTCACCCTCATGTCGGTCTAAACCAGGAGTAGGCAAGTTCGGTCCTAGAGAGCCGCTGTCCTGCAGAGTTCAGTTCTAACCCTAATCAAACACACCTGAACAAGCTAATTAATGTCTTCAGGATTACTAAGGCTATAGGCAGGTGAGTTTTGTTTTCAGGGTTGGAGCTGAACTCTGCAGGACTTCGGCTCTCTAGGACCGAACTTGCCTACCCCTGGTCTAAACCATGCATGACTTTCCATTTTTGCAGAACATCAAAGATGATATAAAGAAGAAAGATGTCTCATTTTTTGTTTTTTTACAATAGGAAGACTGTCATACAGGTTTAGAATGGCCTGAGGGTGAGTAAATAATTGCAGAATCTTTTTGGGGTGTACCTAAATGCAAAGCCTCATTAAGAAAAGGACAAAATATTATTTTTAAAAGATCAGGGCTGAATTAAGACAGATAGAAAATGTTTTACAAAAAGACACCATATTTCAAATGTCTTAATGCAAAAAACAACAGATTTGACAATAAAGGGATCACTTGCTTTAATGTAACAAATTAAGATCTTGAATTTAAAGGGATAGTTCACCCAAAAAGGAAATTTAATTTCAATTTCATCAAACATCATTTACTCCCCCTCCACTTGTTCCAAACCTGTATGAGTTTCTTTCTTCTGTTGAACACTAAAGAGGATATTTTTGGAGAATGTTGGTAAACAAGCAGTTGACATTAGCCATTGACTTCCATAATATTTTTTTTCCTATAGCTACCATTAACTGTTTGGTTACCTGGTTACCGTTACCAACATTCTTCAAAATACCTTCCTTTGTGTTAAACAGAAGAAAGAACCCCATACAGACTTTACAGGATTTCCAATGGGACTTTAAAGTAGTAGTAGTACAGTAAATAAATGGTCCAATCCATGGTCTGTAAAGTTGTTGGTCCTCAGAACACATTACAGATGGGATTTTTGTACTCAAGAACTGTAATTCCTTATATCCGTACCATCCTCCCCTGCCTTTCATGCTACCACGGAGCCATTGGTGAGTAAGTGATGTAAAGCTAAATTCCTCCAAATCTGTTTATTCTATTTTTATTTTATATTTTTATTTATTTTTTGTTATACATGATCTTGTTCAGAAGAACAAGTGGTGAAAGTTTCAGGGGTCTGCTGGGCATTATAATAGTTTGAGCGGTCTCTCTGTCTGTTTGTTTCTCTTCATAGCCCCCACGGTGGTGTCGTTTTCGTTCGATGTAGGAAACGGGCCGGTGGAACTGAACGTGCACTCTCCTACCTTGCTGAACGATGACCAGTGGCACCGGGTCAGTGCGGAGAGGAGCACGAAAGAGGCCATTCTGCAACTAGACCAGAAATACCAGGAGGTCAGACCTGCACCTACACAGGGACACACACGCCTGGAGCTCTACAGCCAGCTTTATGTGGGTAAGGACCACATGTACATCCACATATAGCGTATATATGGATTCATGTGGGTGAGGACTTCAGACAAACACATTTTTCCATACACCCACCCCTACAGTACTGAAGCCTGCTAATACTTAGTTATATTGTTGGAGGTTGGATTACTGTTGTTCTTTGGTTGGCATTCATAATATTATTGATGGACTGCACAACTCTTGAAAATCTGATCTCAGATGAGATCTATTGCTGATTAGGATGGACAAAAAGGATGTTTCTTCATTATCGTGTTCAAAAAAATACACAATTCCTCCTGAATCTCTCCATTCTCAGCTGTTATTTTGCATTTTAATTATTCTCTTTTATCTCTCTATCTCTTTTCCACTCTTTTTCTCTGTCTCTCGCTGTTTCTGCTGAAATATCAGCAGTCTCGCGCACAGCGCTCTATGTTCTCCTGTGTCTGAAAGTGAAAATGTATTTATAGTCTGCAGCCTAAATGCAGGTGTAGCTATTACAACTTGCACTTAATGACATGGAACCCTGGGGAACTTGTTCGCCTCCGAAGTATGAAAAAGTCCACTGTAAAGAAAAGGAAGTTGAAAATTGGTTTGACTGAATATGGCTGAAAAATGTCTCAGACACAGCAGGGAATCTGACTAATAATGGTGTCGTGTGCTATGCTAACATTAGCAAGGAATCTTTTTATGCCTTTAAAAGTGTGAACAAGCCGTGTCACTCATGAGGCAATTATCTCTTGAACAGAATCGCTTTGGGCTTTCAATGTGCTATTTTGTGCTTTGATTCTTTTCAACAAATGACTTTGACGCTCATTAAGAAAGGGGAAGATAATGCACCTCTGTGGCTCTCTTGAGAGAGCTTTTAGAAAGCTTGTCTAGCTTGTGTATTTAAAGCTTGACGTCAGAAAAAATGTCCACGTTTCCAAGAAGTATTTATTGATATCAAATTGATTGATTGGGGTTTCAAGCAGAATTCTACAGTACAGGAAGTATACAGGTGTGTATTATTATTATTATGAATGTTTGATAATTGTATTATATGACATAATAAAATATACTATGCTATGTAATTTATTAATTTATTTTATCTGAAAAATTACTATACATTTAGTTTTTCACTAAAGTTAAAATGAACTAAAGGAAGAATAATTATTTATGTTTATTCAACAGTATAACTTAACATTAACCATATATTTTATATGAGCACAGCTTTGTTTTTGTTTTGTTTTTTGTTGTTGTTGTTTTTTGTTTGTTTGTTGTTGTTTGTTTTTTTAATGGATAGTGTAGACTAATTCATGGAAATTAATCAAGCTTATCTTATCTTATCTTAACCAACTCTATCTGCATTTTGTCCACCAAAGTTAAATTAGATACTATTAGTATATTGGATCTTGAAACTAATCCAAATAAATTTCACATGCTCAAAGTTTAGTTTGACTGTCCCTTTAAAGAAATTGTTCACCCAGAAATAAAAATGTTCTACAAATTTACTCACTCTCAAGCCAGCCCAGTTTGTTTCTTCATCAGAACAGATTTGGAGAAATTTAGCATTGAATCACTTGCTCACCAATGGATCCACTGCAGTGAATGGGTGCCGTCAGAATGAGTTTTCAAACATCTGAGATAAACATCACAATAATCCATATGACTCCAGTCCATCAGTTAACGTCTTGTAAGGTGGAAAGCTTTATGTTTGTAAGAATCACAGTATTTTTCTGCAAATTTTTATTTTGTGGTGAACTATTTCTTTAAAGGGACAGTATGTTGGATGCTGCAACCAGCAAAATCATGGATTAATATTCAATGTATTGCACTGCCCAAGCCATAACCCTCTCTATGTCTCATTTGCATGTTTGTCCATGAAGCAGATGAAAATTTCATTCTTATTCTCAACAGATCTGAAGAATATTGGACTGGCATGTCAATTTCATTATCACGCACATTAGGTTAGGTGTAATGAGCTTTGCAGTCCAAATGAATGTTAAAGGTTGTCTAATCCTTGTCCGTTGTTTCAGTAGAAATGTAAAATGTTGGCGTGACTGTTCATGGAGAGCAACTCTCAGTCTTTAGACCCTGACCCTCAGTGGGGAAAACTAACTGGTTTATGCCCACTCAGCGGATATAAACCAGTTGCTCTGAGCACGGAGCAATTCATAAGCATTGGAGAGGAGGCCAGACAGATGCCTGACAGGTCTGGACAGCATCTGTCTGGCCTCCTTTCTAATTCTTGTGAATTGCTCCGTGCTCAGTTTTTCTGACCATTTAGTCCCATGCCATCATTTTTTGATAAAGCAGATTGCCCTTTACTTCCTTTCACCCATGGATGCTTGTGTCTATTTGAATTTGCTTTGCATTTATATTGGTCACGTTATATTTAATGGAGGATTAAATGCTTGCTCGTTCTTTATTCTCATTCACTTCATCTTAAATAACAAGCAGACCTTTGATTTAGCAACCACTAACACGTTTGCATTCGTCTACGGTATTATAATATGTGTATGTCTGTATTCACTGTTTGCATGAATCTTTAATGCTTCTTTACTATCCACCATCAAGTTGCTTCTTGCGATTTATTTTCTTTTTGTGTTCTCCTTGCAACCTGGTCTTGATCATGCATTAAGTTTTCTCATTACTGCATGTTTTTGTTTTTTTTTGGTGTTGTTTTTATTTCTTTCATTGCTTGCACATCTGGGTGATATTGGTTCTCCAAAGGAAAGCCAGCATCATGGGCCTGTCAGGAAAGTAGGTACCTTTTTTGTCAAATTTACACCAACAAACTGAAACTACCCGTCTGTCTGTCTGTCTATCTGTGATATTTTGGAATATATATATCTATATATATATATTCCACTGTGCAGGATGGTCTAATTCATGTAATTTGCTAATTCATTACAGTTTTATTAAAGAATAATTTCCGATTCAGGGCTCATCAGAGATGGAGGCAGAACTTCAAAAGGGTTTTAACAGCTCGCCATAACAGCCTCTTTCCTCATTTAAGCTTATTCATGCTGTCTCACTTTCTGTGTTTATTAAAACAGTGCTGGTGAAAAAAGTTTTGTGAAATAGATTCTTCAGCAACAAACGAGGCCGTAAAAAATGTCTGCTAAGTGACATGAATCAGATTGGAACAATGTTGCAGAATAAATAGAATGTTACTTAAAATGTGTTTTTGTGTTTTATCTCATGTTCGTCCTTGAAACATGAGACATTGTGTCGTTCAAGTATTAGAAATAGCACAGCATATTTACTGTACATTTGATGATAAGAGCTCTGCTCTCAGGTTTATTAGCAAAGGATTCAGTGAGTTTGTTTTGTATTAAATGGCCAACCAGGTCACCAGCTCAATTAAAACTCCACCGTTGATGTGAGTTTGAGTTAAATTGAGTTTATAAAACTTTGAAAATGTGTTTTCTGTTCTTTTTTTGTAAAGCATAGCCAGAATGCCATTATTACTTTATGTATCTACTGTCTTTGGAGGAATTGATAAAGCTTTCCTCATTTGGCAGCTTGATCAATTTGAACAGGATTGTACTTGTGGGTCAGTTTTTATTATTTACCGTTAGTAAATAATTAATGCATCCTTCCAGGACATTTACTATTAATCTACTATTAATCTAGCAAATGATTGTACGATTTATTTTTAACTGGGCAGTTTCGTGTAATGAAAAGATGTCCAGATAAGACCTAGAGCAATTGGCGAATGTTTATTTTCTCCTGGAAGTGGAGCTCTAATGATGTCTAATTTCTCTACGGTCTATTGTATTGAATGGTACATGCCAAAATGAATGAAACCCACCAGAAGGTTCAACTATTGGCTGAGACTTAATGTTTCAAATTTAACCTTTTGTTTTCAAGCTAGTCTGCAATAGAAATGAAGGATTGAGTCATTTTGTTGGGACACTTATGCTTTTATTAAATGTAATATTGACTAGTCTCTGTCTCCATTTCTCATCCAGGTGCAGCAGGAGGTCAGAGAGGGTTTCTCGGATGCATCCGCTCTCTGAAAATGAACGGTGTGACCCTTGACTTAGAAGAGAGGGCAAAAGTCACTCCTGGTGTAAAACCTGGCTGTTCGGGTCACTGCACCAGTTTTGGGATGTATTGCCGTAACGGCGGCAAGTGTGTGGAGAAATACAATGGCTATTCTTGTGACTGCTCCACCACTGCTTTCGATGGGCCTTTCTGTTCAAAAGGTCAGTATGCATATGCAAATTAGAAATTCTTACTTTTAAAAGTTTAAAAGTTTATACACCTCAACCAGAGATATGACACTGAACAATTTGTTTTTTTAAACCTGTGACTGGCAGGAATCTCTGAGGGCAACTCTTGTACTTAAGCTCAGCCTCCCTCATTTGAATATAGTAATAGTATCACTGACATGAGCAGGCCCCTTCTGTAGTTCGTGCTATGTCGAGACCTCCATCAAGCATCTCATGCTCTGTTTAAAAATGGCGACTCGCTGTGAGTCAGGGCCTCTGATGGTTGCCCTCAGCTTTCAACATCTCCTTCTGCTTGAAATATGCATGAACAACCTCGTAATTGCAAGGTTTTAACTCACATTTCCATTTTACACATATTTACTTGTGCCGTCTAGGGTATTGCAGTCAATATCGAATTCTCTCAGATTCTTTGCCTCTGGGTCAGTGCAATTGCTCCCACAGGCTGCCTTACATCTGTGGCTCAATACTACACATCACCTTCACTCCAGGAAGAGGAATCTCTTTGCTGTTTCATTTGGATTCAGAACTATGGATGTGGATTCTTACATCTATATGTTATTTAGTGCTATTTGTTCTCGATTTAAAGGGTTAGCTCACCAGAAAATGAGAATTTACTCACCCTCATGTCGGTCTAAACCAGGAGTAGGCAAGTTCGGTCCTAGAGAGCCGCTGTCCTGCAGAGTTCAGTTCTAACCCTAATCAAACACACCTGAACAAGCTAATTAATGTCTTCAGGATTACTAAGGCTATAGGCAGGTGAGTTTTGTTTTCAGGGTTGGAGCTGAACTCTGCAGGACTTCGGCTCTCTAGGACCGAACTTGCCTACCCCTGGTCTAAACCATGCATGACTTTCCATTTTTGCAGAACATCAAAGATGATATAAAGAAGAAAGATGTCTCATTTTTTGTTTTTTTACAATAGGAAGACTGTCATACAGGTTTAGAATGGCCTGAGGGTGAGTAAATAATTGCAGAATCTTTTTGGGGTGTACCTAAATGCAAAGCCTCATTAAGAAAAGGACAAAATATTATTTTTAAAAGATCAGGGCTGAATTAAGACAGATAGAAAATGTTTTACAAAAAGACACCATATTTCAAATGTCTTAATGCAAAAAACAACAGATTTGACAATAAAGGGATCACTTGCTTTAATGTAACAAATTAAGATCTTGAATTTAAAGGGATAGTTCACCCAAAAAGGAAATTTAATTTCAATTTCATCAAACATCATTTACTCCCCCTCCACTTGTTCCAAACCTGTATGAGTTTCTTTCTTCTGTTGAACACTAAAGAGGATATTTTTGGAGAATGTTGGTAAACAAGCAGTTGACATTAGCCATTGACTTCCATAATATTTTTTTTCCTATAGCTACCATTAACTGTTTGGTTACCTGGTTACCGTTACCAACATTCTTCAAAATACCTTCCTTTGTGTTAAACAGAAGAAAGAACCCCATACAGACTTTACAGGATTTCATATGGGACTTTAAAGTAGTAGTAGTACAGTAAATAAATGGTCCAATCCATGGTCTGTAAAGTTGTTGGTCCTCAGAACACATTACAGATTACTGTAATTCCTTATATCCGTACCATCCTACCCTGCCTTTCATGCTCCCACTGTGTCGAGGCTTTTGCCCCAGTGGTACTAAAACATGGTGGTTCTTTCTCAGTTGCCTCTGAACCGCGTGTTGCAGCATGGTGGAAAAGTAAAGATTGCTCAAGGACCTCGCAGCAAATAATTAAACCAATCTATAGTCTCCGCACTGATTTCCTTCCTGCTCCCGATACAGCATTTGTACAAAGCTCATTTGTACTTAGCGCTCTGTTCCCGGGGGTAAAACGGCTGAATGAGAGAATGCCATGAATAACGGATAAACCCGCCTCGTCCTCTGTGTACATGAGATATTCGGTGCGGGTGCACATTGTCATGTGCGTTCACTCTCTTTTTACCCTTGTGTGTATTTACTTCATTACCCATGTTGATTTCCCATGGTTCTTCCTGTTCCACCCCATATGCAACAAATCCTGTGTTGTTTATACTGCTTCTGTGTAAGACAAATCTATGCACACTTGCACATGTCCTAGCAGTCAGGTTAAACGATTCGTGTAAGGACCTTTGTTCTCCCCCTCAAGTAAAAAGGTAATAGGAAAGTGTCCTCTTGGTTTAGCTGTTGAAGAAGCCCCTCATGAATACAAAACATGCCGGTAATGTCAGTTTCCTTGCCCTTCTACACTTTTTCAGGCTAAGAAACACTGGTTTCAAAGTTTAGACTTTTTTTAATTGAACACACATTATGATTCGCTATGAGTAAGATATAATATATTAGGGCTGTCAGTCAATTACATTTTTAATCTTAATTAATTACATGATGTGTCGATAAATTCATCTAATTAGTTGCAAAATAAGTTTGACTGAAAATACCCATAAAAGATTATTTAAAGCTATTTTTGTGTTAAATGAGAAAGTATCAAGTAGACATTACAAATTGTAGCTTTAGAAAGAAATATTTTATTTGATTCAACATGAAATTTATTACACATAAACATTTAGGATACAACGGCCTAACATAAACTATGGAACATAAAAGAAGATCATTTGAGAAACATCTCAGTATTTTTTGTTCATACAATAAAAATCATTAGTAACCAAAACAGCTTTGTTACCAAAAGTCTTCAAAATACCCTCTTTTATGTTCCACAAAAGAAAGATTTGAAACAACATGAGGGTGAGTAAACAATGACAGAATGTTAATTGTTTTGGGTAAACTATCCCTTTAATGTTTTTATTTTTATTATTATAATTTTTTATGAAATGAAACTCTAAATAAGAAACTAAATTTGCCAGCAGGTGGTGGTTTATGAGTCATTTATTCATTCGATTCCTTCAAACGGCTGATTCATTCAGAAACTAAATCCCGTTGTTTTGCTCGAAGATGTGCAACAATTCTGCTATGGCTCGTAATATGGCAAAACACGCAAAACACACTCAAACATTGTGTTTAAAATATAAACTTCTTATTTACTGAACTGTTGTATAAAATCACATTTAAACTCGTATATATCGAACAAACTCGGGACAAAATCAGCACTCGTGTAATACTGCTCTCCCTGCTCGCGGGATATCGCTTATCGTATGATATAAATATGAGACAAAAACTCATACAGGGGCATTTTTTGCACCAATATCTTGAATTTTAGGGCATAACTGCATTTATGGAGTCGTTGCCCTGCATCATATTTGTCAACAGTCAACTATATGAAATGTAAGATGACATACAGGTCTGGGGGCGGGGTCAGTGCGTTAATAGTGTTAAAATATTTTAATCATGTTATTTTTTTCATAACTAATTAATTAAAGCGTTAAACTGACAGCCCTAATATACAGTATATAATGCATTAAATGCATGTGAGATAATGCATTAAATTTGTCAAAAGTGACAATGAAGACATTTTTAAAGTTGCCAAAGACTTCAATTTTAAATAAATAAACTTTATTGAATTTCTTTGGTAACTTTATAAATGTCTTAATTGTCACTTTTGACCAATTTAATGCATTCTCTCTAAAAAAAAAAGATTTTTTTTTTATTTTCAAGAAAAATTATTTTTATGGATGCTCCGATCAGGATTTTTGCAGCCAATACCGAGTACCAATTTCTTGTCATGGTGATCGGCCGATACAGATGCTGATTCTGATGCTTCAAGGCAAGCTTTATATAACATATGTAATAATGTTATATAAATAATCACAAAAATTATTCCTTATACAGTGAACATTTTAATATGCCTTTAAAATGTGGTTTATGCATAACATTATGTATATCAGGATACTTAATATAAGACAAAAATAAATACAAACAAAATGGAGCAGTCTGATGCAGCCCACAAGGTTTATTTAAACATTATCCAATAGTAAACTGTGGAGGACAAAATAAACATTTAAACTCCTAAAAGAACTAATTGGAGTAGTTTGATGCAACTCATTAGGTTTAATTTAACATTGGACAAAATAAATAGAAACATTTAAACTCCAACATGGAGAAGTCTTACATAACTCATAAGGTTTAATACTGTGCAGTAAAAGACTGAAGAAGGAAAAAGAAATTTTTCAAACATTTAAACTACTGAAAGAACAAAACGGAGTAGTTCGATCACGGTTATATCCACGGGCGCTGCGGATAATCCGCAGGGTCGGGTAATAAAAAAAAATGCATTCTGATTATTTGCGGGTGGATAAAATAAATCATAAATGATGCAAATATTAACTACATTTTTATTAATACATTTTTTCATCAGGCAGACGATTTCATTTGTGTGTGTGTGTGTGTGTGTGTTCGCCTGATCAGTAAGTTGCAGTGACAGAAACGGTGACATTCCAGGTAAAGTTTGAAAGGAGTAAAGCTAATTAATGCTATTTAGTAGGCTAATATGGCCAAAGAAGATATTTTGTTTTATAAATAAATGTTCATTTAAAAGCAGCACACGATCAGTGTAGCTATTATGTTACCGTTACCCCTTACGGCTCCGACGTGGTTTGGTTCCGTCCTCCACGCTGTGACAACTCACAAGACTATTTTAGCCAAGCAGCGTGGAGAGCTGCTTTTGAAACATGCTGCGGCTGGCTGGTATAAACACAAGCATTGACTACAGTGGCCGTGATCAGCTCCGGTTCCTGTGGAGCTGTAACGTGCCGCAGATGCGTGCAGTGATGCGCAGGTCAGCTCTAACGTCACTGAATCTGCTTTTAAAAATTAACCATCCGTTCATCATATCATCATGCAAAACATAAACGACAAATAGCAAATTTTTCATTGCTTCTCGAAACGTCATAGCATTTCCACACCGGCCATGACATGACTGCGGCGCCAAATCATTTATGTCCCCACGCATCATACGCCCTCACGCGTTGATGTCATCAAATTGCGATGGTTCGTGAGATCGACCAAGTGTAGTGAGTACCGATCAGTCATAAAATGTGATTATCAGCCGATACCGATCTCCAACCGATCAATCGGAGCATGCCTAATAATTTTCCTTATTGAAAAAATAATATATATATATTTACATTTACATTTAGTCATTTAGCAGACACTTTTATCCAAAGCGACTTACAAATGAGGACAATGGAAGCAATCAAAATCATCAAAAGAGCTATATATATATTTTATATATATATGTGTGTGTGTGTGTGTGTGTGTGTGTGTGTGTGTGTGTGTATATATATATATATTTAAAATGTAATAATATTTTACAGTAATACTGTACTGTCTTTACTGTATTTTTGATCAAATAAATTCAGCCTTTGTGAGCATAAGAAACTTTTAAAAAACATTTTACTAAATAAAAGTATCAGTACACTATATGATTGTATTTCTTTTGGCATATACCTAACCCTCAAATCTGATTGGTTGTTTAAATCTTTTCCAGATGTTGGTGGTTTCTTTGAGGCAGGAACACTGGTCAAGTATAATCTGGTACCTGAAGTGATGGCTGCAGCTTCCAGCCTGGATGAGAAGAGTGTTATCCACAACCTTCCTGTCGAGACCAACCTGACATGTGAAGACCTGACCTTCAGCTTCAGCACCTCCACTTCTCCCAGCCTTCTAGTCTATGTCAGCTCAAAAACCCAGGATTACATGGCCGTGGTGCTCCGTCACAATGGTAGGATATTGATCACTCTGCAAAAGAGGGTTTTATAGCAATTCCATAGATGAACCATTTTGTATTCCCTAAAGAAGCTTTCAGTGAACAGATCTTTTCTGTCCACTCTACTAACTCTAAGGAACTTTGCAACTTTATGTCAACTAACTCTCATTAATTTGCAACTGCGTGTTAACTAACTCTCATTAGAGTAGACTGTTAGGATCATAGACATGTATATGTAGATCCCACATTCGACCACTCCAAACACATCTGCCATCTTTGAACGTTCAACGTTTTGTCACTCACAGTAAAAAGCAGTAAGTTAAGAAAAAATTTGATACATTTTCACAGGTGAGAATGTGTTTGTTTGTGTTTTTATATGCATTAATACAGCTTTTTTAACTATGTTAACTTTTTAATGTTGTTATAGTTAATGCCTTCATCTTGTATCGTGTTAATTTAGCAAAATCATCTGCAGAATTCTGTTGCAGATATAGATATTCATACATGCGTATAACGTCTCAGGTTACGTATGTAACCATGGTTCCCTGAGAAGGGAACGAGACACTGTGTCCTCTAGAGGTCGCTATGGGGAACGCCTTCAGCGTGACCGGTGTCTGAAGCATACATCTAAAAACGACAATAACATTGGCCAGCGACAGCCTATGACGTCATTACCCTGATCATGCGATCACAGTATTAAAGGACACCGGGATAACACGTCATCCGCTTCTTCGTATGAAGCTTGCGTCCGCAGCATGGCAAGGAAACTAGAGGACGCATTGTCTCGTTCCCTTCTAAGGGGAACCATGGTTACATATATTACCTGAGACGTTCCCTTTCGAGGGAACTTTGAACTGCGTCCTCTAGAGGTCGCTATGGGGAATGGTATACCCATGCCACCATGCTGAGAGGAGTGCATGCCAGAAAACCACGGCGAGCACTAAGTACCAACTCTACCATAGCCATGGGAGTTGCCCCAAAGGACATTTGATGGCTGTCAGTGACATTATCCCCTTCGGCCAAGGGCCTGAGCTGCATACCCTAAAAGAACTTACCTGTTAAGGGCTGGGCTAGGAAGCCCAAGCCTAGGGCAGAGCTCAAAGCTTGGAATCAGAAGAAAGAGATTCCTTTAAGGGGATACGGCCAGGTGTCTAAAAAACCACACCAGACCCTGGCCTGTCACCCAGGGGGTGCTACCACTGGTTCTGAATAAACCTGCTCAAAGAACTGACTCGACAGATCTTAGGTAGCAACACCCTGCTCAGAAATGTATCAACAGAGATACATTAGTTGTGTGGAGCCCAAGGCGAGAACCGGGGCCTAAGCCAACTCAGAGAAAGGGAACGAGGCTGACAGCACGTGACCCTTACCATACAGGATTTTAGAAAGTGCGCAGAGTGCTTAGCGTGCACACTTACCACAATGTGAATTTTAGAAAGTGCACAGAAGCTTAGCATGTGCACTTACCATAGCATGGATTTAGAAAGATTCTGAAGCATCTGCTCACAGATGCCCAGAAGTCCTCAGACACTCAATTGGGAGTGGCAGGCTCAAAGACAACTCTCTGAGGTGAGGGGAGCACTGCCTGGCTTGACCCGAATAGAGGCAGCTTATCAGGGAAGCAGCAAGCAGCCCAACTACCTGATGTCACTGCCACAGAGCTCAAGAGTGGAGGGTTCAACCCCTAGCGAAGAGAGAGAGGAACCCAGCTCGACCGAAGCAACCAATAGCCCAGGGAAGAGGACCTAACTCTCGGAGTCAAGAGGAGGACTCACCCAGTCTGCCCAGGACCGGCAAGCTCAAAGGGACAGTGAGGGGAGCACAGCCATGCCCGGGACAGATAGATCGCAAATGGGACATCAGAAATGGGATCCTGCTAGAAGGGGATTACACATTTATAAGAGAACAACAGGATCCCAACATAAAGGCAACTGACCAAGGAGGCGACAGAGACGGACAAAACACTTAGTTCGTTGCAAATGGGGTCCTTCGGGAGCAGCGCTCTCAGCTCTCAAGCTGAGGCGTGCCCTTACAGCACATTCTGTGAGCAACTCATTGCTAACCCTCACAGAGAGGGGAGCACTTCTCAGCTCGACCAGAAGGGGGCACTAGATTAGAAGACGTAACCCAGCAGGGCCCAATAAGAGACAGCCCACTGGTGCAGCTGGACACATTCTCATGCTCTCTTTCTCGATAGAGAGCGTGGGTCCCATATAACCAGACCCGATAGAATCTGAAGAAATAGCAGGACCCAATAACCATTCATGCATATAGAGCTTACTGCTCCTCAGAGCAGAAGCACAAAAGAGGGGTTTCCACCGAAACACAAATCCCTCTTACCTCAGGGAACGCAGTGTACTCGAGCCCACTCCGCAGAGGAGTGATTACTGGTTCAACCATAAGGGCAGTGTGACAGTGAGGACCCACGGGCCCGACCGTCTATGGAGCGCCGAGCTCCTCAATGTCTCAGCGAGAGGAGCTCTAGCTCAGAGAACATGCATGAAGTTTAAGGAACGATTCAAATCTCAGGAGACCCCTCAGGGTGAGAAATGAATAGTTGCACCTGGCCAGAGGATAGGGAGCATGTCACAAAGCATGTACTCAGAAGAGTACTAGCCCACGAGAAGGACCCACAGGTCCTGAGGTTGCAGCGTTATACTGGGGACCTGATGCTGGGAGACTTCCTCAGAAGCCCAGGCTGCATGTCCAAGCCGAAGATGAGGGCTATCACCAGCCTGGAACCAGAACCGATGAGTGAAACCATCACTGTAATTGGTCAACAGCAGGAGGTCCTGACTTAGCAGGTGGGTCAAACCTAAAAGTCAGAAAAACAGAACAGGTCTGAGTAGCGCTGCAGAGAAAGGCTAGCATCAAATACACAAGAACTAGCAGTAGAGTAGATAAAAATGGATCGTACTCGCCAACCATGGCTCCCGCGCATGACTCAGGCTCATGATATAGGCTGGAGGCGAAGTCCAAAGCCTGGACCTTTGTGGAATGAAGGATTTAAAGGCAGCCGAACGCGTCTTGGCCTCCTTAAATTTCACGACCACCATCTCGACGTAAGTGCCGAAAAGCTCAGAAGGGGAAACCGGCGCATCAAGAAGAAAGCCCTTCTCTTTCGACCCTGTATCCACCAGACTCACCCACAGATGTCTCTCCGTAACCACCATGGCTGCCATTTTTTTAACCGGCCTGCTTAGTGGCACGGAGAGCAAGATCCGTGGTGCGATGCAACTCAGCCACCTCATCAGGGGATAGACCCTGCCTTTATACAGTTCTTTCAGCAGATCAGCTTGAAAAGCCTGAAGCACCACCGTGGTGTGCAATGAGACTGCATCCTGACCTGCTGTCGCGTATGCCCTGCCATTCAAACAAGATGTATACTGAAGGGGTTTGGATGGCAGGGAGAGAGCCTTAAAGGTGACGTATCATTTTTTGACATATTTTAAGTGCTATAATCAGGTCCCCGGTGCATCTACCAACCAAGGAAACATGAAAAAGATTAACCCAGTAACTTTGTTTTGGTAAGCCTTTTTCTGCAAGTGTCTGAAAAAACTAGCGCGTCTCATTTCGCTCCCTTGGTGACGTGGCAAAGGGATCTCATTATAATATTACCGCCCCTTAATCTGTAAGTTTACACCCATGGCGCCGTCATTTTGATTTCGCAAGCGACAACGGTGGTTGGTAAGCCTTTTTCTGCAAGTGTCTGAAAAAACGAGCGCGTCTCATTTCGCTCCCTTGGTGACGTGGCAAAGGGATCTCATTATAATATTACCGCCCCTTAATCTGTAAGTTTACACCCATGGCGCCGTCATTTTGATTTCGCACGCGACAACGGTGGAATGCCATGGCGAAAGTTTGAGCAAAACTAATTGTTCTGTCTTTGGCTGCACAGACAAGCACAGAACACTATTTAGAGTCGCAGCCTCAGAGGAGACAACAGAGCAGTGGATTTATTGATTTATTTACTGTATATTGCTGCTACCACACAGATCTAAAATAAACATGCAATTTATTTCCCAACTGTTTACCTTTACAGACATAACCAACTGTTTTTGTAACTCGTGTCTTTTTAAGGTAAACTTGTGTATGAATGAGAACTTAGTTTAGTACTCACATGCTGTGACGGACGCTGTGTGCCAGATGTGCACACTCAGAAAACCGTGTGTTAGAAGTTTAAACTAATATGGTTTAAAACGCATGATTTCAGCGCAATAAACATGATAATCAGAACCAAAACAGATGTTTTTAGCAGGTCCTAGCTGTAATGGCACAGCTCTATTCTGGAAGAGGGGGCGGGGAGCAGCAGCTCATTTGCATTTAAAGAGACAGGCACGTAAAACAGCGTGTTTCTGCTTCCACTCAAAATAGGCATTTTCAAAATGATATAATAAATGATCTGTGGGGTATTTTGAGTGGAAACTTCACAGACACATTCTGGGGACACCAGAGACTTATATTACATATTATAAAAAGGGGCATAATATGTCTCCTTTAAGAGAAGATGTCTCCCCTATATAGAGATAGCAGGCCAGTGTCTCTTCAACAGGGGGCATCTTTTCATAACCATTGACCTTTGTGGAATGAAGGATTTAAAGGCAGCCGAACGCGTCTTGGCCTCCTTAAATTTCACGACCACCATCTCGACGTAAGTGCCGAAAAGCTCAGAAGGGGAAACCGGCGCATCAAGAAGAAAGCCCTTCTCTTTCGACCCTGTATCCACCAGACTCACCCACAGATGTCTCTCCGTAACCACCATGGCTGCCATTTTTTTAACCGGCCTGCTTAGTGGCACGGAGAGCAAGATCCGTGGTGCGATGCAACTCAGCCACCTCATCAGGGGATAGACCCTGCCTTTATACAGTTCTTTCAGCAGATCAGCTTGAAAAGCCTGAAGCACCACCGTGGTGTGCAATGAGACTGCATCCTGACCTGCTGTCGCGTATGCCCTGCCATTCAAACAAGATGTATACTGAAGGGGTTTGGATGGCAGGGAGAGAGCCTTAAAGGTGACGTATCATTTTTTGACATATTTTAAGTGCTATAATCAGGTCCCCGGTGCATCTACCAACCAAGGAAACATGAAAAAGATTAACCCAGTAACTTTGTTTTGGTAAGCCTTTTTCTGCAAGTGTCTGAAAAAACGAGCGCGTCTCATTTCGCTCCCTTGGTGACGTGGCAAAGGGATCTCATTATAATATTACCGCCCCTTAATCTGTAAGTTTACACCCATGGCGCCGTCATTTTGATTTCGCACGCGACAACGGTGGAATGCCATGGCGAAAGTTTGAGCAAAACTAATTGTTCTGTCTTTGGCTGCACAGACAAGCACAGAACACTATTTAGAGTCGCAGCCTCAGAGGAGACAACAGAGCAGTGGATTTATTGATTTATTTACTGTATATTGCTGCTACCACACAGATCTAAAATAAACATGCAATTTATTTCCCAACTGTTTACCTTTACAGACATAACCAACTGTTTTTGTAACTCGTGTCTTTTTAAGGTAAACTTGTGTATGAATGAGAACTTAGTTTAGTACTCACATGCTGTGACAGCCGCTTTCTGTCCGTGTACTTCGGATGTGTGCTCTCAGAAAAACGTTTCAACTCAAGTTTAAACTCATATGGTTTAAAACGCATGATTTCAGCGCAATAAACATGATAATCAGAACCAAAACAGATGTTTTTAGCAGGTCCTAGCTGTAATGGCACAGCTCTATTCTGGAAGAGGGGGCGGGGAGCAGCAGCTCATTTGCATTTAAAGAGACAGGCACGTAAAACAGCGTGTTTCTGCTTCCACTCAAAATAGGCATTTTCAAAATGATATAATAAATGATCTGTGGGGTATTTTGAGTGGAAACTTCACAGACACATTCTGGGGACACCAGAGACTTATATTACATATTATAAAAAGGGGCATAATATGTCTCCTTTAAGAGAAGATGTCTCCCCTATATAGAGATAGCAGGCCAGTGTCTCTTCAACAGGGGGCATCTTTTCATAACCATTCTCACGCATCCCCTCGATGTTGGCATAACTAGTATGCTGGAATCTTTGGATGCGGGACGAGAATGGATTATTTTTTTTTACTTCAAGCCGGAGTGCAGTATAATGTGGTTATCTGAAAAGGACATGATATAAATCATCTGTCCAACAACTGCAGACAGATCCACACTATACACTTCCTATATAAACAAAAGGAAATTACTGATAAGGGGAAATTTCTCATCAGGTCCTTTCCATGTTCTCACTGTGACTGCAACGCACAGCATGCATTCAACTCCCGCGGGAGCTAAACATGCTCCGCCCAACCACTAGATTACCTCGGAACTCAAACGAGAACGAAAACCGCTGCCGCGAATGCATCGCTATTCCCGCGAGAGGCGAACGCACTCATGCAAACACTATCTACAAACTCGGGTAAATGGTGAAGTACTCACATCCCCCTCAGTAGTCCCGCGAATGCAATACGATGAGCACAAGCCGTCTCCTCGTGAGACAAGCGCGTTCAATTCATGCTTATCCCTCACAAGAAATAAGCAATGAATGCAGAGCGCATCGAACTCCCTCAAGATCTGAACGTGCTTGCTCTTCACCACACTCACACAGCAGGCAAGCCGTGTGAAACTGCAGGTATCAGAGCAAAGCCTCTGGCGAGAAAACATTTCCATAGTCGTCTTTAGCTTAATGCTAACATAAACAAACGGTCAGTGAATACTGTGAAGATTAAGAAGAGGATGACGTGTTATCCCGGCGCCCTTTTATACTGTGATCGCGTGATCAGGGTAATGACGTCATAGGCTGTTGCCGGCCAATCTTATTGTAGTTTTTAGATGTATGCTTCAGACACCGGTCACGCTGAAGGCGTTCCCCATAGCGACCTCGAGAGGACGCAGTTCGAAGTTCCCTCGAAAGGGAACTATGGTTGCAGACGTAGAGTCAACTTTCTCTCAAGTGTTCACAGACTGGCTTTGACTATTCCAATATGGCGGATGACTTATGTATAGCCACCCATAGAAACAGCCGCTAATGAAGCATCTATGTATATACAGTGTATCTATGTTTAGGGTTAGTAGAATAATGTCATGTACTTGTAAAGTCAGTAAAATGCCTGTAAGTGTGAACCAAACTGTATATTTAACATCAAATATGTTCTGATTAGCTTTTATTGTGCCACCTCACACAGTATTGTTGCTTTCAGTATGAACAGACAAATCGCATCACACCTGGTTAGTCTTCGTTCATCATTAAGTCCAGATGCTGATGCAATACACACATCTGTGTGTGTCTGTAAGATTGTTCTGCAGCAGTTTTGAAACTGCACTGTAATAATAAAGGAAAATTTATTGCACCAGGCTGAATTGCTTTTTGAAGTGGAAGCGCAACAGTAAAAGCTAATTATATGACAAATGACAGAGTGCAGGCAATTACATCCCTGTTTGTTTGGCATAAGCACAACACTGTGATCCAATTCTTTTAGCGTTTAGAAGTAAAACACATCTGGTGTTTAAAGAAAAAGACCCTTATTCCCCTCAAGGACAGGATTTCACATTAAACACAGTGACTCAGATGTACCGTTGTTTAATTTGTAGAGTGGAGTTTTCGCTAAGCACTGTTCCATAAAACCCAAAGTGGGCACACAAGACTGGAGATACTTGTGCTTTGTGTTAAGCTGCCTAAACCCACATCGAATTTTACCCTGTAGTCTCTGAGCAAATTTATCTTGCTGGCCTGAGCGGTAACCCAAATGAGGTAATGTTCTTCCCTGCAGTCTGTAGGGCCGTTGCACAGGAGAGTGCTGTGGAGGTGAGTGATGTCAGGGTGCAGAACTGATGCACAACTCTCACTCACTCAGGCATTCTGCATCCAGGAAGACTGCAGTGCGGTTGAGCTCTGGATAAATGTGATCTTTCTGTCTCATCCTGTTTCACTCAGGTACGCTGCAGCTGCGGTACAACTTGGGTGGTCTCAGAGAACCCTTCAGTATTGATATTGACCAGAGGAACTTGGCCAACGGGCAGCCCCACACCGTCAACATCTCGCGGGTGGAGAGAGACATAGAAGTGCAGGTGGGAAACACATGAAACTGACCACTCTCAATATTACAATCAGTATCATTGGTCAAACGTATCATGTAATACTCATCCAAAAATATAGAAGTTAGCATTTTTACTTCTAAGGCAGCATCTTAACTGAAATTAAACCTCATAAGGGACTGATTTGAAACACTCTACATGGGCAACTACTTTGGTAGCGGGTTGTTGTCTGTGCCATTCAAATAAATTTGTATATGAATTGCACAAAAAAATCTGCTAAATCTCGCAGTTAATTTCACAGTAAAGGCAGTCAGTAGTTGATAAAAGAGCCAATTTTGTAATTAAATTAAATGATTTATAATATTATTATGTTTGTTGTTATAATAATATTATATTCATTATAAAATGAAATTGTTTACAAGAAAAATAAACTTTTTTATATAGTATTAGTTTTATATAGTACTGTAATGATCATCAAACAAATGTATATCTTAAGTACAGTATTGTCACGAATCCGGTCCATGAACTTCCTTCTGTTAGCCATCAGAGGTCACCCTTTCCAATTTCATTGACTCTCGCACTACACATTGTTGCACATCACCCCGGACTACATATCCCATCATTCATTGCACTGATTGCACTCGGCACGGATTGCACACAGCTGTTAACACTGATTGCACCCAGCTGTTTCATATCACTCCCTCACTATTTAACACTCACTCTGATCCCTTCCCTCTGCCGAGTATTGTCTAGCGATTATCACTCTCCTAGCGATAGCTACTCTACAGAGCCCTAAGTCGTTTCCTAGCCTAGTTTTGCCTTGCCTTGTCTGTCTCCTTCGGTTTTGATCTTCGCCTGTTTTCCTGGACTTCTCCCTTTAGCCTTGCCCCTGTGACTCTGTCTGCCTATCGTCGACCCACGCTAGCCCTAGGATTATTCTTGTGTCTTGCCCGCCATATTCCTGGTTGCCACTGTTTACCCTGCCTGTCTTATGACCATGTCCCTGTCTTCTCCAAATAAAGCTTTGCATATGGATCCGCACGTCTCGCGTCTCGTCAGCCCCATTACAAGTATATAACAATTTGGTAAAAGTGCTGATTTTGAATTAGAAATTGTATTACGGAAAATATTCTGTTGATACTTTATTAATGTAATTTACATTTTATTTATCTTTATTTATTTTTGTTTGATTTTATTATTAATAAATAATAATATTAATAATAACAATAATGTTTTATTATTAATTATTACATATATTGGGTAAAAGTGCCCATTTTGAATTAGAAACTACATTATAGAAGAGTATTTTATTGATAATTTTCCACACAAAATAATACAATTATTTTCATTATAATAAAATGAAAAATATGTGTAAAGATATATGCATATATTATGTAAAAGTGGCCATTTTGAATTAGGAACTATAATTAAATTATTTCATAATAAATTAAACCATTTATAATAAAATAAGAATAATAAATTTACAATAAAGTACTATATATATTTAATTAAAATAAAATGTATTTAAATATGACATTTTTGTAGCTCCATACCGCCATCAATGCATTTTGATCCATGAAGGATATATATGATGCTGCCTTCAATTTTAGTCAAAATTAAGTATTTTTGATTTTTGAAGCTGATGCCTAAAATCGTTGCCTAGATAGGCAGCTTTCTTGATTTCGTAACTGAATGTATATCTCAAATATGCGGGTATGTGAGTGGATGTGTGCCGTGTCTGTTACCCAGGATGCACTGCATTAGTCTCACAGGCCCAACTGGATAATTGATCCCAATTGAAGCCCATATTGATCTATGAAATGAGACTCAGGGTGAACTGTAGATTTTATTATGTTCTAAATGGCAGGACACACAGCACCTCATGTGGGCGATAAGCAGGACTGCAACATGAAACGATAAAGATGTGATCAAGATCACAGAAGCACCTGATCAGTAGAAAGTGTGGTCATATCAAGTTGCATTTGAGGACAGGTGAAAACTAACTACAGAAGGGTCAGGGACTTTCAATTTTATGTCAAAGGCTTGTATGTGCTGGCCGGGACCCTCCTCGCCCCTCACCATCGCTGTAAGACATGTCCCAAGAGAATAATATTGAATGACAGAGGAGCAAAGATCATGTCAGATACACTGACCTTGTCAGCAAAAAAGAGACCTTGTCAGTTGCTTTTCTCTCTCTCTCTCTCTCTCTCTCTCTCTCTCTCTCTCTCTCTCTCTTTCTTTCTTTCCAGTCAGCCTGTGTCTTTTGCTCCTGCTTTGTTCCAGGCTCCTAAATCAAATAATCAAATTCTCGCTGTCTGGATGGATGAGGCACAGCAATGATAAGCCCGTGGGCATGAGGCTTAAAGAAGGGCTGTAGCTCTCTTTAATTCTGCCGTATTTCATTTCTTGCTACACAGCTCTGCCAAGCCTGAGATCCTACAGACTAGAGCTGGAAATCTGGCATGGGGTGAAATATATAGAGAGAGAAAGAGAAAACCATAGCCCTTTTACCCTGTCTTTATGGCCCCTGGGAACCCCGCTGACATTGCAGCAAATAGAAACCCATAGCCATCCTTCAGACAATGACCTAAGTGTATGAGGGGTTTAGGTGTGTGTGTGTGTGTGTGTGTGTGTGTGTGTGTGTGTGTGTGTGTGTGTGTGTGTGTGTGTGTGTGTGTGTGTGTGTTTATGACACTAGGATA